TCATTTAATAAACAGCCTGCCTAAGAATAGAAGGAAAAGCAGAAATACAATGCTTGAAGTTGCTAGTTGTCCTCTTCCCTTCTGAACATTAATCAGAGTTCCATCTTTTGCAGGGACTTACATCTATACTTTACCTTCATCTATACATACGTGTATAAAAGCACTTGAACTTCCTGCACAAATGACAGATATATGAAGTGTGACTAGAGTAATGTGACTGATATTTTCCCCCTGTTACAAACAGGTATAATCAAGCAAAACAGATTCCTGCATTGTACATACACGTGTGTATATACATGTGTGATATGTATGTACACACACATTTTATACATACATACACATACATATATACATACACACATACACATACTCTGAGTCCCTCACCTCAGGAGGTGGGTAGCATGTTTCATCGTGAGTCTTCTGGAATCACAGCCAGTGATGCATAGGTCAAAGTTTCTAATTCTTTCAAGGTTGTTTCTTTGACATGTCATTGTATAAATTGTTCTCCTGGTTCTGCTCACTTCACTCTGCATCAGTTCATACAAGCCTTCCCAGGTTTCTCTGAAACCATCTCTGTCATAATCTCTTACAGAACAAAGGTATTCCATCGTATTCATATACCATAACTTGTTTAGCCATTTCCCAATCGATAAGCATCCCCTCAGTTTTCAGTTCTTTGCCATCCCCCACAGACAAAGCTGCTATATTTTTATACATACGACTCCCTTTTCTTTCTTTTTGATCTCTTGGGAGTATAGACCCAAGAGTAGTATTACTGAGTCAAAGCGTATACACAGTTCTTCACAGGACTAATCCTAGGGTGGTCAAATTAACCCAGGCAGCCTTCTTGATTTGGTGCCAATCAATGAACAAGTATTTATTAGGTTCATACTTTATGCCAGGCATTGTACTAGACACTGGGGATACAATCTCAAAGGCAGAAACAATCTTTATTCATGGAGCTTATGTTCTAAGATAACACAGAGGAAAGATATAAATAGACAGTGAATTGGAGCTCAGAGTTCACTCTTGCATCCTTTTCAGTTCTCTCCCTTGGAGGCAGAATGGGGTGGTGATTTAAGCCTATGTTTGCCTCGTCTCTTTATTGCTTTAGTAGAGTTGTTCTAGTAGAAAAGAACCACCCCAGCCCACCCCCTATCGGAAGCCATATGGGTGCTCTGCGTCCTCACAGGTTAGCTGGTCCTAAGCTCTTCTATTTCTCACGTTTCCCTTTGACTGCAGGTGGGGAGCAGGATGGTGATCATTGTTGCTGCTTGTGTGCTGCTCCTGATGGGCATATTTGGGAAGATTGGGGCTGCATTTGCCACCATTCCTAGCCCTGTGATTGGGGGCATGTTCATAGTGATGTTTTGGAATCATCGCAGCTGTGGGAATTTCCAATCTGCAGGTAAAGAAAGGCATCTTTTCAATTCAATTCAACAAATTTTAGCACCTACTGTGTGCAAGGCACTGTGAGTCTTGACCTCAAGACAGTCTGCCTTTAAAGAGTTAAAGAAACATTCTGCCTCTTGAAATAAATTCATTGGAATTTGGATTATGAAATGGTAGGACCGAGGTTAGGAGGAAATTCCCCTGAAACCACAGTACTCCACCTCTCAAGTGGCAATGGCCAAATGTGGAATTTCCCTGTGAAAATAAAATGGCTTAGATTAAACAAAACAGAATCAATGGATAATAGAACTACTGACTTTTGACTCTGTCCAGATAGTCAACTCCTAATATCCCCCATGTTGATTAACTAAATGATCATGCTTCCAGAATCATACTACCCAAGCAGGAGCTTGGCATGACGGCATGATAAACGGTGCTCTCCACCCTTACCCCCTTAGCCCTCCCCATCCTGTATTCAGTTATTCCGCTAATTTGCAGAGAGGAGAGTACCTAGTTTTCCCAGATTCTCCCCTGTGCCCTCCCACGTCCCAAGAAATTGCTCCCATTTCTGAGCAAGAGGCTCGCCCTTGGTGGTAAGAGTCTCTCACAGGACCTTCTCCTTGCAGTATGTGGACATGAACTCTTCCAGGAACCTCTTTGTCTTTGGCTTCTCCATCTATTGTGGGCTGACCATTCCTAACTGGATGAACAAGAATCCAGAACTAATCCAGACCGGTGAGGATCTGCTGAATCCACAGATGACCAGCTTTATCTCTCTCTTGCTAATATTGTAACCTGGGCTGGTAGGGTGAGGGTCAGGGCTCAGAGGGGCTGGGTTGTTGGGCTGCCCCTGTGAAAGTTCTATAGTTCCTCTATCTCATTCTTCTCCTCTTGTGTCCACTGTAGGAATTCTTCAATTGGATCAGGTCATCCAGGTTCTGCTCACCACTGGCATGTTTGTGGGTGGCTTCCTGGGCTTTGTACTTGACAACACTATCCCAGGTAAGGCTGGCTCATCACTGCTTCTAGAAAACTTGTCAGAGAGTAGGTAGATACCTACAGAACCCTTCTTCTGGTCTCTGCTGCCCATAACGTAGTCAGCAAACATTGACTGTGCTAGGTATCGAGGGGACAAGAGGTAGAAATGAATAGAAAAGTCACATGACATCAGCTCTATAAAAAGTATGCTGCCTAGCTGAGGAGATGGCTCACATGTAGTTGAATAAAACGAACACCCACTTACCTTGTCAGGACAAGCCAAGAATGTAATGCCGAAGGAGTACCAACATAGGAATACCTGATCCAATAAAGTCAATTGCTTTTGGCTTTCTGGAAAATTTTATGATGGGAAGAAGGCTAAGTCACATGGCATAGAACAAGAAAGAAGCTACAAGTAGGAAGAGGAAGAGTGCATACAGAAGCACAGAATGGTGAAATATCCGGCTTGCTATAGAAGTAGCAGAGAATGGGTTCTGGTCCCATCTCTGTCATTAACCAGGAGGACAGCCTTGGAAAAGTCATTTCCTTTCTTTGAGTCTTGGTTTTTCCATTTGTGTGAAGTGACGGAGTCAGGCTAAATTATCTTCCAGTTCTAAACTTATGTGACTCCAAGCTGCTCTGAAGGGACAGTAACTCTTAGTCCTGCCTGAAGATCATAAGATCATAGTTCTAGAGCTAGAAGGGTCTTTAACTAGTTCAACCCCCTCATTTTACAGATTAGGAAACTGAGGTCATTTAGTATGCCTTCATTACAAGTGTCCCCCAACTGGGTCAGTCCCAAAGAATGGAATTCCCTACTATTACCCCCAAATGCTACAGCTCCACAGGGCTTGGCCCACTCTTGACTTATTCCCTCTTCTTAGGAAGTCAGGAAGAAAGAGGACTCATCGCATGGAACCAGATCCATGAGGACTCAGAGGATGCCCTGAATGGCTCTGAGGTCTACAACTTCCCTTTTGGGATTGGCACCAAATTCTGTGCTGCTTCGTGGCTCAGGTACATCCCCTTTTGGCCCAAGCCAGAACATGGAGAGGAAGCAATGGAAAGGGGGCATCGCCTCACCGAGGAGAATGGTCAGATTTCGATGGGAGTGAGAGAGAAGCTGGAGATGGAAATAATAATGTAGAGAGACTCTTCCTCCCCCAGTCAGGGACATCCCAGAAGATACAAGGTTTAATAGGCCTCCGTTCTCTCTGATGGGGTTAAACAGATGTTAAATTGTAATCATCTGCCATCTTCCAACTAGTTACTTCCAACTAGTCACTGATGTACAAATCCCCTGTTTCCCACCTGTAGTATACATTTGAACTGTGTATCCTGAAATATATAAAACATTAACTTTATTATTGACAAGTTTTGGAGTGGGGAGGAGGGGGTGGGTAGGATTAAAACTGTAAGTTGAAATTGTCTGCTTTTGTTTATTAAAACCAAGAGTGGTCTTCTCCCAAGGGGTCATGCTGAGCGGATGAGATCTGATTTGAGTAGAGCTCTGGACTTTTCCACTATCTTGACTAGTGTGGTAGAAGCAATAACTGTCATACAAGTTGTTGTTGTTGTTGTTGTTTTAATAAAAGGTATGAAAACCATCCTTGTGACTTAATTGATTTAAAAGACAAAGATGCAGGCTTCCTGGTGGCTTAAGAACAAAAGCCAGCCCACCAGAGCCTTGACAGGCATGCCAACATGGTCAACGTGACTGAATCAACACTGTGGCCTTGCTAAGTATCCTTTCCATGCTATGGCGAAGCACCTCCTTTTGTTAACTGTTAAATGGTCCACAAGTGTCTACTTTCCTTCCAGTTCCAAACCTGAAGCATAAGCCCAGCCTGAATCACGTGCAGATATCTGTCCCTAATTTCCTAACTGCTAGCACTGCCCCTCTTTGCAACGACAACTTCTCCCTCCCTGGAAGATAAAGAGAACTAGAAAGGTAGCCTATGATTCATGCGGGGGGTGCAGGTCAGCTATTGGTAATATTCTCACCAGTGCCTGTATTCCAAGTGAAATTCTGGTACCCAAGGTCCTTGATAGCTATGCCTCCATTCAGTTGAATTCAGTGGATATTTATTAAACACCTACTATGCCCAAAAATGGTGCTCAGTATTGGGGATGCAAAGATAGAAATGATAAAGAACATGCTTTCCAAGGAACCTGCAGTCTAATGGAAGGTGGAGTTGGGTAACATAAATCACCATGACAAAGAGTGAAATAAATGTGGAAGGAAAGATCTGGGTAAAGTACTGTGAGAAATTTCAGAAGGATACACAGACACACACATGCATATATGTATATGTGTATGTACATATGAGTGAGTGTATATTACAGTATAGTTATTGGACAGCCTGGGCAGGTGACTGGGACCATCTCCCGAGGAGGTTGGCAACCTGGACTAGGCTTCAGGGATTCTCACGTTTCCTCTCCATTAGAAGTGTCAGTTGCCCACAACATTCCTGCCCCTATTCTTCCTGGATCAGAAAGTCTACCAGATGTATAAGGTCAGGCATGGCGTGCGTGTGTGTGTGTGTGCCCATATGAATCTTTTTACTTTGTATACGAACTTTTCCCCTCTCCACCTAAAAGAAGACACAATTCACTCAGAAGCCAAAACAGAAGGCTTACAGTTAAATACTTTATAAACAGTCAGAACCTAAGACCATTCCAAATGCTCCCAGGAAAGCCCACCCCAGAAGCCCTCAAATGGAAGCCTGGGTGTGATCTCAGCTTTCAGCAATGCATTCAGTTACGGAAACCTCCCAGGCTTCCTTTCTTACAAATCGTCATCATCAAAGGTCTCAGTGCATCTCAGCATCACTGTCTCATCATCGAGTGGGATGGTTGCTTCCTGCAAAACACCAGGGTGGAAGAAATTAAGGGGAGAGTGAGAACATTTTCTACCTGAACTGTCCAGTCCAGCTTATAACCTATTTTGAGTGTCCCACCCATCATCCCTAGACCAACCACTCTTGCACCCTCCTTTCACAAAGCTATCTGACTTTCTATTCCAAACCCCTTTCTCTTTGATCTTTGGTTACCAATTTCTGGAAGAAAACAAGAGTTTCAAGAAGGAAGGCCCCATCCTCATTTCACCCAACCTTCTTGAGGAAACCATTTCTTCTATGGTAACCCTACAAAGTATTTTGGGACTTTCTCTAATGGGACACCAGAATAGGAAAAGCTCTTAAGCTTTATCCCCCATGGTAAAACTTCAGGCTCAAAATAGTCCACTGCAAAGAGTTTGGGTTTGATTGTGTCTGTAGGTCAATTAGCAGTCCTGTCCTCTGTCCTCTGACTGGAGTGTACCACTAACCCTAGTCACCCATCTCTCCAAGGTGTGCCCAATGGTCTCATGGCTGATGGGGATCACAAGGCGTGGATTATTCAAGGGAAATCCCTCTTCACTGCTAAAGAAACATTGAGCACATGTCCTACTGATGGTGCGGGCATCTTAAGTGAATGCCCAGGTTAAAAATAAAAAGTATTACTGGTCCTTCCCCTAGTGCAGCTGCCAGCAAGGCTGAAAAACTACTTCCAAGTCCCCAATAAAGGAGATTCAGTTGGAAAAGGAATTATTTGTATCCATTCATGTAAGAAGGAAAAGTACTAGGTTTCACCCTCTGGAGGCATTAGCAGAAGCTTGAAAGAAGAGGGATTTAGGGTGCTCAAGATGAGGTCAGGAGGCCTAGTCCTTTGGGAAGGGGGAAAAAATCAAGAGTTAAAAAAATAAAGAACAAACAAAAACCCAGCTTATAATGTACCAATTTTGAATCTCTGAGTAAACACCTGATTTAAATTTTATTCAAAGCGCCCTGTGCACTCTAGAGTGCTATAGGGCCCTAAGAAGATGGACAGCTCTGGAAATTATAAGTAGGAGTTTGTGAGCTGAAACCATAGCTCACACCAATAGATCCTTAGTAAATGGCAAGTATTTATGTAAATTAAGTCACACTGACTCATATGGCGAAAGCCTATGGGAATCGGAAACTAAAAATGATAAAGTAGAGAGCTTTTTGTTCTCATGGGTAAGGAAGAATACGGAGGCAATTTAAAGCTGTTCTCTCTCTTGTCAGTTTTGGGTAGAGAAAGGGCTGGGAGCCTGAAATTCTAAAAAGGCACACTGAGGCTGTCTTTTTTACCTTGCTCCAATAACCTGCAGAAGCTGTGCTTGAGACAAGAAGTAATTTGCTGCTGAGGGAGAAGCAGGAGAAGGTCCCAAACCAGCAAAAAATCTTTTTGCTCCCAGCTAAGAATTCTGGGGGAGGAGATGAAAAAAATTATGATTCAAGAGAAAGGTACCAAATTATACCTTAGTGGTACTGGATTAAAAGGAAAATCTTGCTATATAAAACACATCTTTAAAACTAATGGCTAGGGGCATCTAGATAGCACAGTGCATAGAGCTCCAGCCTTGGAGTCAGGAGGACCTGAGTTCAAATGTGGCCTCAGACACTTGACACTTAACTAGCTGTGTGACCCTGGGCAAGTCACTTAACCCCAATTGCCTCATCAAAAAGCAAAAACAAAAAAAACTAAAAAACTGGTGATCATTTAGATTAGGCTGTTTTAGTGAAGAATTACATTTTTAAAAATAAAGGTTGGGATATCTATGACTCTTAATAAGTCCCTGAGGGTTTAGCCAGAGAAGCCCTATCTATTATCCAAATCCCACGGAAAACACTAATAGGTTGAGACTAGAGTTTTGACCTTTTGACAAAAGGTTCACTGCCACCTAATCCCTAAATTTCAAGTTCAGTTTTTTTTACCAAGGACAAGACTTAATCCCACCCTCACCCCACCCCCAAAATCTGATCGTGTTCTAAGATGTCAGCAAATTTCGCATAAATCTTCACAAAATGTCTCGCCATCCCACCCACAACTGGGGTGAGGGAGGACAATCACAGTGATTTTTTCTCTTCACAGTCAGATTATCACAGGCCTGGTTATGCCGAGAAAGTAGAGATTTGACGTTATTGGGCAGCTTGTAAGTAAATAACTTTTCTCTGCTTTTGGTTTTTATGATGAAGTTCAACTGGTGTCTCAGACTACTCACCAGAAGGTCTCTGAAGATTATGAAACTGTTCTGTCCTTGTGAGTGATGTTAAAAAAAAAAAGACTTTCTTGCCTTAGAAAGCATTCTCTCAGTTTTCTCTTAATAGTTTTCAGTTCCATAGGAGAGCACATGACTTAAGTCACCTCCAAATGGAAACAGGCCAAATGCAATGAAAATGAATGCCTAATGGCTCCTTTTTGATGTGACCAGGAAAATGTCATTCAATAATTCAACATTTATTCAGCTCTTACTATGTACAAGATATTTGTCCTGAAAAACTCCCATTAAATAGGAATTTAATTCCTGGACCCTTAGATGAAAAGGCTAGTGGGCTATCATCTGAGCTACTTAGAAATTCAAGCAGATGAAATACAGTGAAAAATCCCTTTCCCCCATCGAGGAGAGAAGCAAGGGGGCAGAGATCTATCTGCTCTGCTCTCTGTCCTACCTGTGGCAACTGTGTGTTAGCACAGAAAAGGCCCTTTAAGAAACTGATGATCTGCACATAGAGATGATTGTTTTCCTCTGGATTTTCTGAGCTGCAGCCTGCAAACACTGAACTGACAATGGAAATAAAAAGAACATTTAACTCCCAGATTTTTTTTTAACCTTTCCCTGGGTGCATTTGGATATTTCTGCTGAGCCGCTGGTAGAATTCCCACACACAGAGACTCCAGCTAAAGAAAGCTGTAGCACATACCCTGTATATGTATATGTACGTAGCACATACTCTGTAACCCACTCCCAGCAAAGCTCTATTGTGTCGCCTTAGTTCCTTCCTTTTAATCTCCCGTGATTTGAATCACAATTCTGGACTATTCTGGAGCTAGATTTGAGGTGTTCAGCACACATCACAAACAATGAGGACAGGAGTAAACTCCCCTTATTGTGGGGTTGGCCTCTTAGCCTCTCGGTGCCCTAGGCAGCTCTCAAAGGCTCCAAGGGACACGTCGCCAGGCTGCGATGGCAGGGTGAGTTTCCTCACTAGGAGCTACCCACAGCCATGAAATCACAAGTCTAGATTTAAAAAAAAAATCCTCATGATCAAATTTGTGATTCTGGGCCATCATCTCTAGACGGAAGAAAGGGAGAAAATACTTAGTTGCAGTATCTCCTCCCCTCATCCCATAAAGCAGTATCGTAGAATGTTGGTTTCATTCTTTAATGCTGTTCTTTTTACAGAACCAGCATGGTCTAATGACAACAGTGAGTGGATAGGGATTCAGAAGGCCTGGCTTTAAATCTTAGCTCTTCTGCTTGTTAGCAATTAACTTTAGGCAAGTTGCAAACTTTCTGAACCCCAGTGTTTCTTTGCCTGAAAAAAAAATGGGAGTAACATAGCATGACCAACCTCACAGGGCTGTTATCAGCTAGCATGCATAAAACCTTGTGTAAACTTTTGTGGTCATTCCTTCCTTTCAGTCACATTCAACTCTTTGTGACCCCATTTAGGGTTTTCTTGGCAAAGATACTAGAGTGGTTTGCCATTTCCTTCTGGAACTCGTTTAGCAGATGAGGGAACTGAGGCAAACAGGGTTAAGTGACCTGCCAACATCACATAGCTAGTAAGTGTCTGATGCCGGATTGGAACTCAGGAAGAGCAGTCTTCTTGCTCTATCCACTGTGCCACCTAGCTGCTCTCTCTGTAAACTTTATGTCACTCTAAACATGTCACTACTATTACCCAGAACCCATGTTCATTCATTCTGAAAGGGTCCCAGAGGGTAGAGAACGCTGGATTTTGAAGCTGAGGACCCAAGTTTGAATTCTGTCTCTGCCATTTTTCCGTGTGATCCTGGCCATGTCACTTAAGCTCTGTGGGCCTAAATTTTCTCATCTGTTAAAATAAAGGGGGGTTGGAATTGGACGAGGGCACCTCTAAGGTACCTTCCAACTCTAGGTATAGATAGGATCCCAATGAAGGCACCCATGCCATTTGGTGGGAAACAGTGGCACAGTGACCCAAGCAGAAGCCCAGTTCTATAATCATTTTGTCTCTCTGTCCTAAGGGAACAGAGAAATGTGCTGTCAGAAAAGAAGTCCCTGGCCAATCTTCAGAATAAAGCAACAGGCGGCGATTTCATCCGTGCAGCTGCTGAGGGTCTGAGGCAGCAGCATCCATCCTGAGATGACCTTTTAGTTTTTCTTTAACTTTATCTTGGGTCTTAAATGACCCTCTCCCCCACACCCCCACATCCCCTGCCCAAAGAAGGCTAGCAACTTTGAAGCAAACATTTTCTGTGTCACTGACTTGTCTTGGAGGGATAACAATTTATACTACATGCCTCCTTTTTCTCCCTCCCTCCCTAAAAAAAAAGTAAGTTTATTTCCATAAGGCGGTAACAATGTTAGCAGTAAACACAGACTATTTCTCTGCAATGCTATCCTTGGACTAAAGCAATATTGTATCAAGCAATTTTCTTTCCTTTGCTTTTTTTTTAAAAAAATTCCTTTTTATTCTTATGAATTTGATAAACAGAGCAATTTTCACTAACACAAAAAGGAATCTCTGCCTTGCAAACAGCAGGGAAAGATGTATAATTTTTTTTATTGTTCCTTTTTACCTTTATTTTTTAGAATGAACCCATCATACACAACTCACACCTTCCTTTCAAACTACAGGAGGAATGAGTCTGTTAAGACTACACATAACATTTGCACATTCAAGTAAACTGTGACCTTATTGCATCCCTTATACTTCCATCGATGTTTTTATCTCGATTCTCCTGGTCTTAGATGTCCATCGAGTTCTGGTCTGTCACAAATGGCACTCTTTCAGTTTGGTAACCTCTTTTTTTTTTAACCTATTCAGGTTTACACTCAGCTTTGCTGGGCAAAGCCCTACTGTTTTTTTAATGTAGGTAAAAGCTGCTAGGTGTTGGCGTTATCCTAAATACCATAGAGCTACATTTTTTTTCCTTCTTCTTCTTCATGTTCTCGGTATTGTATTTTCTCTTTTCAAGGAAGCTCGCAACTTGGCTAAGAATTTTCATCCTGGGATCTCTTCTTAGATTTCTTCTGATTCTTAAATTTCAAAGTCAAATTTTCTGTTCAGGTCTGGTCTTTTCCTCAAGTCTGAGAATCCTCTAATTCATTAAAGGACACACACACACTTTTGCTGTGTCAGGTGGGGGCCTGGGAGGGAACCATTCCTTCCTGATAAAGGATTCAGTTTACATCCTCCATGTTTTTAGGGACACATTCCTAAACCAAGTTCCTTGAGAATACCACCAGATGCTTTCTCAGATGCTTTCTTCAATAGGTTTTCAAAAGTAGAACAGGTCCCGAGGCTGGGTTCCGGCTCCTGCTCACTGATTTCTGCTCCTTGACTCTTGCATTCCTCTGAAGTCCACCACTTAAACAGCTTCAGGGCAAATCAGCTTGCGGTCTTCTTTTCTTCTTCATTCCCCTACTCTTCTCCTCCGGGGCCAACTCTGAATAGAATTCTGCCTCTTCCTGCATCGCTATTTATACTGCTCTTGACTCCTGCGGCAATGCGGGCCAGGCACCTGCCTTGGCCAGGCTTCCCCCACTCGCGCCTTGGCCACAGGTGCGCGTCTACCCTCCTGCCTTTGCGCTGCACGTGGGGTTTGCGGCAAGTGCCTTCCCACGTGTTTCTGCCCGCCGGTGGAGGTAGTTCAGCTCTTCGAATGCTGGGGGCATGCCTCAGTCCTAGTTATTTTTGGTAGGGCAAACACACAAGATAGGGGAGGGGATGGCTCTGGTTCCAATTAAAAAATAATTCTTAGGGGCAGCTAGGTGGTCCAGTGGATATTGCTCAGGCCTTGAGAGTCAGGAGGCCCAGAATTCAAATCCAGTCTCTCACCAGATACTTGACACTAGCTGTAATAACCCTGAACAAGCCACTTAACCAAAAAGGAAAAAAAAAGATTTTAACTTGTAATCTGAGTTATTTTAAATATATACACATCGACATCCATATTTCAATAATTGAAATGCATTTCAAATATTCAGATATCTCAATACAAAAAAATTAGGAAGTTGGGGTGTGTGGTGGAGTTGAGGTCTAACTAGAGGTTTAAGGGTGCTAGACTCCAAAGTGACAGGGAAGTCCTCACAAATGAATTCAACCCAAGCCTTCTTTCAGGCAAATACAAGATAGATTAAAAATCCACCATAGTGGCCAGACTCTTAAGGAATCGAAGCATTTGCATCAGTAATGCCAGTGGGCCAGATTTTAAGAATCTCATCAACTTGTACAATCTTAATAACATCTTAATAAATGTTCTATCTATCCATCATCTGTATCTCTATCATCTATCTATCGACCTATTTATCTGTCTACCCATCTATCATCTGTCTATCATTTCTCTGTCTGTTCATCTATATCTATCTATCTGTCTAACCATCTGTCATCTACCTATTTATCTCTCTACCACTTAGCACAGTGCCTAGCACATATTAAGTGCCTAACACTCATTTACTTAATAAGTGCTGTATCTATCTACTTAACATAGTGCCTAGCACATATCAAGCATGTAATAAATCTCTCTCTCTCTCTCTCTCTCTCTCTCTCTCTCTCTCTCTCTCTCATCTTCTCCACATCTCAGTCCTTTACTCATTTCTTATCCTTTGTTAAAAATTAAAACAGTAGCTGATACTAATAGGTGGCTTGACCCCAGAGGAAGGATGGTCACCAGATTTAGAAGAATGATGGAAAAATCAAGAGGCGGGCATTAAAAGGAGGCAGATTTAGGCTCAATTTGAGGAGGCTCTTCCTAACAATTAGGGCTACCTGAAAATACCGCATATGGTGGTGAGTTCCCTGCCAACTAGAGTGTAATGGGATGACTACTTGTCAGCCCTATGTAGAGATGATTCACACTTCAGATAAGGGTTGAAATAGATGAGGACTAGGTACCTTTTAATTCTGAGATTCTAGGATTTTAGACGTGTGCCTGACATTTGAACTCTACCCATGATGGCCAGTTTGGTTTTGACCCCTCTCTGTCTAAGCTGAAGGTGTGGGGGGGGGGCGGTGTGTGTGGGGATGAGATCCTGGGTTGTCTCAGGGCAAAGGCTAGAGAAGTGCGTGATTTTAACACTCTCCCAAGGCAGAACTGACTTAAATGGCCCAAGCCCTGCCACTGAATCCACTCGGGCTGATCCTGGAATCAGCGAGGTTCTCCGGGGCTCCTCCCCTCTGAGATCATCCCACACAACAGGCAGTTGCAGTGACAGGACAGTGACAGTGTGTGCCCTCCCATGGCTGAATGTTTTTGTCAGTTTGCTGTTGTTGTTTAGCTGTTTTCAGTTGTGGTTGACTCTTTATGATCCCATTTGTGGTTTTCTTGGCAAAGATACTGGGAGTGGTTTGCCATTTCCTTCTCTGGCTCATTTTATAGATGGGGAAACTGAGGCAAACAAGGTCAAGTGGCTTGCCTAGGGTCACACAGCTCTTAAGTGTCTGAGGCTGGATTTGAACTCAGGTCCTCCTGACTCTAGGGCTGGCACTCTATCCACTGTGCCAGGCAGCCGTCCAGTCAGCTTGTACACACAGGATAAAAGGCTGTCACTGGGTCATCTTCCTCAAGTCCTCTAAGTGTCTGCCTAGGTAACAAGGTGACACATTGGATAGAGTGATGGATTTGAAGAGAGGAAGACTTGAATTCAAATCCTGCCTTTGACACTTACTAATTCTGTGACCCTGGGCAAGCCATGTAACCTGCCTCAGTTTCCTCATCTGTAAAATGGGGATAATTGTACCTACTGGATAGGGTTGTTGTAATGATCAAATGAGAAAACCAGCAACATACTTCACAAACTTTAAAGCACTATATAAATGCTAGCTATTATTATCTTACCTGGGGCTGGTCGCACCTGTGGCCACGTCAAATGCATCTTCAAAAAGGATCTGTAAAGGGTTCACATTTTCTTATGTCAGAGGCAATAATCCATTTCTGGGCCCAATATGCTAGGGATTTCTAAAGCAAAATTCCCTGGTAATAAGATTTTCCTGGCTCATGCAGACATGCCCTAGAAGCTAGTTACATTCACATGGGGTCTATCCTATAAGGTCAGGGGGCAGAAGGGTAGGAGTGGAAACATGACTCCTTTGTTGGAAAGCTGACTAAATTATTCATTCCCGGCATTTAGCCCCAGGAGGTCAAAGACACAGAGAAAGGATCCATATGGGTTCAAAATATTCACAGTAACACTTTTTGTGCTACCAAGAACATGGGGAAAAGGTGTCTGCCCAGCAACTGGGGAATGAATGAATAATTTGTTCAGATTTTGAGTGGAATGACTTGTTATTATAGAGTATGAAACCACAAATATAAAGAATCCAGAGAAACTTCGAAAGCCTTGGATGAATGGATGCAGAAGGACATAAGCATAACCAAGAGAAGAATATGGAAGGGCCCCAATCATGTAAAGGAAAATAACACTTAAAAAAAACCCCTCTGGGGCAGCTAGGTGGCACAGCGGATAGAGCAGCGGCTCTGGAGTCAGGAGGCCCTGAGTTCAAATCCAGCTGCAGACACGTAACACACACTAGCTGTGTGACCCTGGGCAAGTCAGTTACCCCAGATTGCCTCATCAAAAAACCAAAACAAAACAAAAAACCCTCTATGTATGTATTGACTAACCTTGACTCCAGAGGTCTGACAATGAAGCATAACTTCCTCTTTTCAGCAGAGAGGTGAGGGACTACAGGTGCAGAATACCATATATACTCTTTGTTCTTTAGTCATTTCAGTCATGTCTAACTCTCCGTGACCCTATTTGGGGTTTCTTGGCAAAGACACTGGAGTGGTTTGCCATTTCCTTCTCCAGCTCATTTTATAGATGAGGAAACTGAGGCAGAGGTTTAAATGACTTGCCCAGGGTCACAGAGCTAGTAAGTGTCTGAGGCCAATTTTGAACACAGGAAGATAAATTTTCCTGACTTCAGGCCTGGTAGTCTATCCACTCTGCCACCTAGCTGCCCATATGCTTCTATTTCATTTATTTTTGTTTGTTTGTTTTTGTTTTTTTGGTGAGGCAATCGGGGTTAAGTGTCTTGCCTAGGGTCACATAGCTAGTAAGTATCATGTGTCTGAGGCTGGATTTGAACTCAGGTCCTCCTGACTCCAGAGCTGGTGCTCTATCCACTGTGCCACCTAGCTGCCCCTACTAATTTTTTTAAAAAAGAAATTAGTTTTTAAAAAATCCAAAGAGAGAACTGATTCCTTTCCCAACCCTGTTTGGTTAAAAATGTGCTATATTCCATGGAGGGTTTCCCTAATTCTGAGGTCTTGTTGAATCCTGGACTGGGAATCTTAGAACACATCCATCATCCTGGTTCTGCTATTGCTTTCTAGAACCAGTGCAATAGCCAGTTTCCTTAACTTTCCTGCCCTGGACTGAGCCCTTAGAATATATACTTCAAACACTGAGGATGAGGGAGAGCTGAAATATGGATGAGCACTGAAAAGGCAGAGTGAACTCTGGGGAGCTGACATGGGTATTTTTCACTTGGAAGGCAGGCAGATGCTGAGCACAAGGGGACATACGGGGGGCTGTATTCCATTTTGAGGGAGGGGAAATGATTGACTGGATAGCAGGGTTAACTATCTCAAGTGAGAAAGATCTGTTATGAGGCTGGGATACTACTAGAATCTGCCATGCCAACCAAGTTCCAGCCTAGGATAGTGATGTTTGCTCTTGACTAAGGCTTGGGATAGACATACCCAGAATAGGGAAAAGAATACAATCATTGACTGAAAAGAAATTCTAATTATTGGTGTCTGGAGCATACGTTACTTATGGGCAGCTAGGTGACACAGTGGATAGAGTGCTGGTCTGGAGTTAAGAAGACTCATATTTGTCAGTTCAAAATCTAGCTGTGTGACTCTGGCCAAGTCACTTCACCCTGTTTGCCTCAGTTTCCTCATCTGTAAAATGAGCTGGAGAAGGAAATAGCAAATCACTCCGGTACTTTTGCCAAGAAAACCCCAAATGGGGTCACAAAGAGTCAGGCATGACTGTAAAATGACTGAACCACAAAAGAGGATACTACCCTTTTCTTCTTCTTCTTCCTCCATTAAGGAGAAGCCACATTCTCAAAGAAATAGAAAGCACCAAAACTCAGTTGTGTGTTGTGTATGTGCGTGCACTGGGCCCATGCTTTGGGCACTGGAAATACTTGCAAACTAAGAATTCCATCTCCCTCCACCTCTAGTGATTTAAGAGGCAGACTAACATAATAGAAAGAGCATTGTCCTTGATGACAGAAGACCCGGGTTCAAGTCTAGACTGTAATACTATTAGCTGTGTGATAATGAGCAAGACACCCCGTCTTGAGCCTTTTTTGTTGGGGTTCAATCATTTCAGTCATTTTTGTCAAGCCCAACTCTTTGTGACCCCATTTGGGGTTTTCTTGCCAAAGACACTGGAGTGGTTTGCCATTTCTTTCTCCAACTCATTTTATAGATAAGGAAACTGAGGCAGCCTGGTAAGTGACTTTCCTAGGGTCACACAGCTACTAAGCATCTGAAGCCCAATTTGAAGTCAGGTCTTCCTTACTCCAGGCCTGACACTCTATTCACTGTTCCGCCTAGCTGCCCTTACTGAGCCTTCATTTTCTCGTCTGAATAATGGGGATGATGATACTTATTTTCCTTGTACCTCCACCTCCAAGGTGGTTGTAGCAAAGCACACTGTAAATTGTAAAGCACTATATAAAAGGGAACTATTTGATTTGCTATTTATTTATCTAATCCTTATTCTAGGCAATGTGGTACACCAGAGCCAGAAGACCTGAGTTCAAATCTACTGCTTACTCTCTGTGCCTTTGACCTCTCTCAGCCTCAGTTTCTTCATCTGTAAAACGAGGAGATGGCATTATGTGGCTCTAGGTCTATGGGCTTATTGTCGAGGGTTGCATCTGGGATCCTAATGTCTCAGGTCCCAACCCAAGAGATCTAACTCAGGATAACCCAAGTGCCTCTGATACTCACTAGCTCTATGACCACGTGAAAACCCCTTAACCTCTCTGAGACGTGGGCAACTCTCCAAGACTTATTTAGTAAGGTATTTGCACTGGAGGCTGGAGTCACTGTGTTATGCAAGAAAGTATGTACTAATACAACTTCATTAATGTATCTGAGGTCTGAATGGACTTTGTTTTCTCTTGTTTACTGGAAACTTTTCAATTGCTAAGACACAGCAGACATCTCCAAGGTGCATGGGATTCCGAGCTAGCAACTTCTTCTCTTTACTGGAAGGTTTGTTTGGCAGATTGGTCCAAGTAAACAAGACACCTGAGTGAACAGAGATGCACTCTAATTTACGCATGGTGTCAAATGCCACACTTGGCACAGGGCAGGCAATTATCAAGTGCTATTTTAAAAGGAGATAATGCCACATGCCTTATCTTACTAATCCTTATGCTAGGCCTTCGAGGAATGGAGTCTAATTTTCCCTCCTGCATGCATCTGTCCTGATCTCCCAGCTACTTAGAGACCTCACCACTCATTCCTCTTTCCCCTCAAACTTTCCCCTCTGTGTCTTCGAAGGATGATAATAAATACATATCCTGGCAAGTGGGGTACGTGGGGAGATGGTGAGGGATAAGGGGACAGAAGAATAAGCCCTGCATTCTGGAGCCATGAGTGTGCCCCTTCCCCAAATTCTATACCATCATTTAGGGACAAATTCATTCATTCGTGCATCTATCCATCCATCCAACCATTCAGTGATCATTTGTTAATTACATACTACGTTCTTGGCACTGTGCTAAGGACTGGAAGCTGTTATTGCGGTTGTGTCCAACTCTCCGTGACCCCATTTGGAATTTTCTGGGAAGAAATACTGGACTGGTTTGCCATTTCCTTCTCCAGCTCATTTTACAGATGAGAAAACTAAGGCAAACAGGCTGAAGTGACTTGCCCAGGGTCACACAGCTAGCAAGTATGTGAGGATAGATTTGAACTCAGGAAGATGAGTCTTCCTGCCTCCACCTACTCTATCCATCTATCTGCTCTAAGGACTGGAAATACAAAGCCAAAAAGAGTAAGAATTTCTGTCTTCAAGATGCTAACATTCAAATGGAGTGGGTAGGGGAAGACAGTATATACATAGACAGATAAACAAAAGCAAACTACAAGGTGCACAAAGACTTCTGGGACACCTTGTATACATACATACATACATACATACATACATACATACATACATACATACATATATACATATATATATACACACACATATGTGTGTGTGTGTGTGTGTATGAAGTAAATCAAGGTAACTTTAGAGGAGGGGAGTGTGAGGGAAAGCACTAATAACTGGGTAGGGAGGATTAGGATAGCCCTCATGTAGGAGGTATAGTGCCTGAACTGAGACCTGAAGAAGGTTAGGGATTCTCTTTTATTTTTTATTTTTAATCCTGGGTCTTCTTTGCCCACTCATGGGCCTGACCTCATCGCTGACTGGCATATTTTGACCTCCTTCATTTTCAGCTTGGGCTGGCTCACTTTTCCCTAGGCAGCCTGGGAGCCCCTGCCCCCAATTCCACCATATTTGAGGCCTTCCATTAACTGCCCGCAGGACCATTCAAATCTCATGTATTGTTATTCCTCCCCCTCCCCCATGTCAGCCCCATCACTCTATCTGCCACGTTGTTCACTCGGGTCTTTGTGCTTTTGTCCACATCATGAAATGACTTTCTGCTCTCTTCTCTGCCCTTCCATCTCCCATTGCTTCTTTCAAGTTCACCTCTTCCTGAAGGCCTTCCCTGATTACCACACTAAGAATCCCAGTACCGAACATCTCACTTGTGTGTGTGGGAGATCCCATGCTATCTTTCCATTGTGGGGGCCGATCCTGCTAAGGGAGGTCAGCTCGAGGCATCTCCCCACCTCTCACTGGGCCTTGACAGGCTGGAAAATCATGGGGAGTCAGAATCAAACTGGGACCTTCCCGAGTAGCTTGGAACCAAATGGTCCTCCCTGTCCTCACTGGTGGTGGGGTGATTCAGGTCCCCTGAATCTCCCTCTGGCCAGAAAAGCTGCTTATGAGACATCTCAGGACTACAGTGGCCATTTAGGAAGGCAGTAGTCTCCCCCTGAAGAGGCAGCTAGATGACTCAGTGGTTGGAGCGCTGGGCCTGGAGTCAGGAAGGCCTGAGTTCAAATCTGGCTTCAGACACTTATCAGCTGTGTGACCCTGGACAAGTCACTTAACTTCTGCTGCCTTAATCCACTGGAGAAGGAAATGGCATCTTGTATCTTGGTCAGGATCTTGGTCAAGAAAACCCCATTGGGAGGGGCAGCTAGGTGGTGCAGTGGATAGAGCACTAGCCTGGAAGTCAGGAGGACCTGAGTTCAAATCTGGCCTCAGACCAAGCACTTGACACTTACTAGCTTGTGATCTTGGGCAAGTCACTTAACCCCAATTGCCTAAAAAAACCAAAAACCAAAACCCATGGACAGTAGGGTCCACGAGGACATGAAGAGTCAGACCTCACTGAATGACTGAACAACAAACCTGACCCATGCCCTCCACCACTGTTGGGCCAATGGTTATTAGAGTTAACCTGAAGACTCAGACTCATCCTCTGAGTTCTCTCTTCTACAATCCCTGCCGGTAGTAGCTATAGCAGGGCATCTAGGTGGTTCAGTGATAGAGCACCGGGTCTGGAGTCAGGAAGATTCATCTTCCTGAGTTCAAATCAGGCTTCAGACACTTACTAGCTATGTGACCCTGGGCAAGTCACTCTTGCCTCAGTTTCTCTCTGCCAAGAAAACCCCAGATGGGGTGATAAAGAGTCAGACATGACTGAAAAAGACTGAACTGGTAGCTATAGAGGCCTCCTGTTCTAGTGAATAGAAGAGCTGCCCTTAGAACCATGAAAAATTGGCTTCAAGTCTTGCCTTTGACATATTCTGGCTCTGTGACCCTGTCTAGGACTCTTAATGTCATTTCTTTCCTTCTCCCCCTCCTCCTCCTCCCCCTCCTCCTCTTCCTTCTTCTTCTTTTTTTTGGTGATGCAATCAGAGTTGAGTGACTTGCCCAGGGTCACACAACTAGCGGACTCTTAATTTCTAAGTGGCCTGGGGCAGCTAGGTGGCGCCGTGGATAGAGCACCAACCCTGGAGTAAGGAGGACCTGAGTTCAAATCGGGCCTCAGACACACAACACTTAATAGCTGTGTGACTCTGGGCAAGTCACTTAACCCCAACTGCCTCACAAAAAAAATAAAATAAAACCCAAAACAATTTTGAAGTGGCCCAGGCAGTAGGAGTTTAAGAGTATAAAAGGTGCTGTTCTGCACTGCTCAAGGAAATCACCTAGAGTGCCCTATACAAACAAAATCATGGATGTAGTAAAAAAAAAAAGTTCTGGTGACCAACAAGTCAGCATTGTGGTAGTGCAAAGATAGCGGCTATGGTCCTAGTGACCTTCTTGACCCATTGAGGTCACCCTGGACAAGTTTTCTGGTCTCTTTCCCTATGTACAGAAAAGGGCACCTCTTCTGGACCTACCTCTGTCTCTCCCAAAAGACCCACTTACCTCCTCTGGGGTGGAGACCAGAAATCCACTGGCCCCTTGGCTGCCGCCTCCACTGTCCTTCACACTGCCCTCGGCAGCACACACAGGCTCCCGGCTTGGAGCCTCTGCATTTACAAAGCCACTTTGTCTCTGAGCACAGGCCTGGAGAATGCTTCCTCTCTTCTCTTCTGGAAGCTCTTGCCACAGATGGGAGATGGCTGTAGAGACGATGGGCAGGACCACCTGTTCAGGGGAGATAACTCCATTCTGGATCAGAAGGTCCACTGTCTGCTTGTAGAAATAGAGGTATCTAGAAGAGAAGAAGGCCAGGGGTGGGAGGAGAGAGGTGGTCACTAGGGGGCCCTGTAAGAAGCCACTTGTCCAAGGCGCTGCTACCCCCCTTCTTTTATTCTCATGCCCACGTTTCATTGAGGTGTGACTGTTTCACAGATTCTCAGAGTGGAAAGAGACGTTAGCCAACCGGGGAAGGGATGGTCAGAATCCAGTGTCTGCACCAGAGCAGAAATCTCTTTTAAAATATCCTCTAACAAATGGTCATGCATTCCAAAAGAGCCAAAATGCTACCCACTTTCTGACAGAGGGGTGATGGGCTCACAAGGCCGACTGAGATACTCATTCTTGGACATGGCCAATGAGGGAATTTGCTTTACTTGACTAGGCCTATTTGTTACAAGAGATTGATTGATTTTTGCTGTTCATTGTGGGGAGAGAGAAAATAAATGCTTATTAACGAAAAATAATTTTAACAACACCCCTGCTTTAACAACATTACCGCAGGGCAGTGGATACAGGAAGTGGTAGCAGGATTAATTCTCTCTATTAGACAGCTGGGAAGACTGAAGCAGAGAGTAATGAAATCACTCAACCCAGATCATTAACTGAATCCTGAGTAGGGTTGGGAATAAGGTCTCAAAAGTGGCCTGCCATTTGACATTAGACCTAGCTTTGTCCTAGATCTTAGGATTTTCTACTGATGGGGTGGGGATGAGTGAGGAGGAACGGTTCCTTTTAGATCATACCATTTTGACACCCTTCTTGCTCATGCGGTCCTTTAGTTTTTCTGCTCCAGCCCTAAAGGCTAAAGCAGGACATCCCTGGGACATTCAGTAGGCCTGGCCTGGCTGCGAATGAGCATGGTGAGAGGCCTGTACCAGCTCTGGGTTTATTTCCTGGTTTGTAAATGAGGAACATCCCGATTTGCTCCTGAGGAAGGAACATTGTTGTGAAGTGCTCTAGGGGCCTTTTGGAGAACACCATGGATGACTCCCTCAATCACCATGATTATAAACTCCATGAGGGCAGGGACTTCATCTAACATAAGTATTCTCTGACCTCCATCTGTAACGTCCCATAGACTAGTCTTACTTATTTCATCTCCATATATCAACGAAAAGATTCTTTTTTAAAAAAAGTTTTTTATTCAAAGAAAAGATTCTTAACAACCAAAGTCGATCGAATAAGGCAGTGGCTATCTCCTCCCCACTCAAGATCTTCAAGAGGAGGCTGTCTGACCTCTGGTCACACATGGGGTACAGGAAGGATTCCTACAATAGTTGGAGGTTGGACTAGATGACCCCTGAGTTCCTTTATGATTCTGAGGTGCTATGGTACTATAAACCGATAACCCCATGGTCCCTCTGCCAATTCTAAAATTCTATGTTTCTATGGATGCTACAACTGCAGAGACCTCAAGAAACAGAAATGAATCTTTGTAAGGGACCTTGGAAAGGCAGGGGAATCTGGACTCTCAGCCATGGACCCTAAGCTTGGCTTGGTAGTGACTTTACTCTGTGCTTTGATGATATAGTGAATGAAGTATTGGACTTGGAGTCCAAGTATGTGAATTCTACACACTTATGAGCTGTGTGACCCTGGGCAAGTCACTTAACTCTTAGCCATAGTTTTCTCATCTGCAAAATTGGGATAATAATATCTAATTCATAAAGTTGTTGTGAAGATGAAATGAGATACTGTGTCAAATGTTTCATGAAACTTAAAGTACTATATAAATGTTAGCTATTATTATAATTAATTCTCTCTCAATAAAATGGAGCTAGGGAGTGAGAGATGAAGAGTTGCTTTATGTCTTTTATGTTATGTCAGGCTCAGTATAAGACCTATGCACCTCATATGCAAGATAAGGCTCACATAATAATCTTCAAAGATGCCTATCAGCCAGGTCCTGGCTGAGTAGAGAGGCTTATTAGTGAATAGGCATTGAGGGACAGATTTGCTAAGGCAATTAGGTGGTATAGTGGAGGTAGGTAGATGGTACAGTAGATCCAACACCGGGCCTGGAGTCAGGAAATCCTGACCTCAGACACTTTACTAGTTATGTGATGTTAGGCATTGATTGATGATACCATAACTGATGAGAGTCAATTACGCTCTTGTTTGACTCAGTTTCCTCAGTTGTAAAATAAGGCTGATAATAGCACCTTTGTAACATGCTTAACATAGTATCTGGAACATAGCAGATTCTACATAAATGCTAGCTATTATTTAGTATAGTGGATGGTATATTGGGTTTGGAGTGAAGACCTAAGGTTCAAATCTGAACTATGTAAATAATGCTACCATTAACCTGGGATGAAAGGACCCCTTCATTACATAACGGATTCTGTCTTGCCCATGAGCACCTCCAGCAACTAGTTCTATGGTGTATTATTTCCAAGTAAATGTCAACTGCCTTGAACAGCCCATAGACTTTGTTTCTGAGCATGGAAAATACCCAAAGACTGTTTAAAAGCATCGTATTGGTGCCCTCCGCTGGCCAAGTTCTACCCTGATGCTTTGCACATCATGACTAACTTCTCTGCCTGGGAGAAGGGATGATGCGGAGGTCTGCCTCTCCATATCACCAGATAGGTCATAAGATCATACATCATAAACTCAGAGCTGAAAGGGATTTTAGAGGCAGGCCATGGAGTCCAACTCCCTCATTTTTTCTTCCTCTCTCTTTTATTATTTTAATTTATTATGTTAACAACCTCCAAATAGAATGGACATTTGTATAAACACAGAAGAACAGAGAAAGAGTATTTGCTGTGTCTATTATACACAGCTTGCTTTTCTATTTAAAGGATAAGATACAATCAACCTATAATGGATCTCATTGGCTGTCTGGGGAATCCTGTGGACCCCTTCTCAGAATAATTTTAAAGGTATTAAATAAAATGAATAGGTTTACAAAGAAAACCAATTTATACTAAAATAGTTATATATGTATAGGCAGTACATATATGTACATGTATATATGTGTGTATAGATAGATAGATATAGATTTAGATAAAGGTTACAGATTCAGAACCTCTGCTTTTAGGGGTAGTTGTGAAAACTATGAGGCCCACAATAAGCCACTTCACCAACCAGACAACTCGTCTAGGTCAATGCCTTTTTGCTGACTGAGCCCAGTAGTGCTACATCCTGCACTCAGCATCTCTGGCTGGTCCCCAGAGGGCCTGGCTCTTTCTTTCTTCCTCCAATGGAGCAATTCAAACTAAAGATCCAGCCTCAGGACCCTTATCTCTCTCTGTCTCTCTTTTTCTCTCTGTCTGTCTTTATCTGTCTGTCTGTCTGTCTGTCTCTCTCTCTCTCTCACACACACACACACACACACACACACACACACACACACACACACAAAATACTATTACAACATCACCACCCATTGCCAAGTAGGCTGTCACTTGCATACCGTTCAAATTCCATCAAGTCAGGAGAGGAGTGAGAGAGTTCACCCCTTCTCTCCTCTTCTTCCTCCTCCACAACTTCTCTGTCAAACTCTTGAATCAGATACCAGACTGCTGAACCGTTCTCTCCCATGGCTTCTGATGTCATGCTGGGGAAAGAGACAAAGGCACACGTTTGATGGGCAACATCTCTAGCATCTGTCCCTCCCTCCCTCTCCTTTCTACTTTCATTTCTACTCCTTGGGGTAGTTCAGGCCCTTGGACTACTTGGACTAATTCAACTGCACCACTGACTTGGACTACAGTAATGATTTAATAAATCTTCCTTCCTGTATTTTCTCTTCCTACTCTATACCACTAGACTCATCTTCTTCATGCACACACCTGCTCATTTCACTTTTTGGATGAAAAGTAGCACTCTACTGCCAACTGTATAAAGTTCAGATTCCAGGGTCTGCCTACCATCTACTCCTCCCTACATTTCTAGCTTTATCCTATATTACCTCCACCACCACCACCCTCACCCTGGCCCCTACCTTTCCTCAGCCCATATACTCTATGCTCAAGTCAGACTAAATGACTTGCTCTTCTTTCCTGCACAGGTCTCATACTTACCCATTTCTGTGTTTTTATTTCCATTGCTCCTCAGGGCTGGAACAGTCTTCCTTACATCTCTGCATTTGCTTTAAATTCCTATCTATGCGTTAAAGCTCAATTCAAAAGCCACCTCCTCCAGGAAATCTTCCCGGGTCCCCTAAGTTGTTATTCAACTGTTTCAGTCATGTCTGACTCTTCATGGCTCCATTTGGGGGTTTTCTTGGCAAAGATACTGGAGTGGTTTTCCATTTCCTTCTCCAGATCATTTTACAGATGAGGAACTGAAGTAAACAGGGTTAAGTGACTTGCCCAAGGTCATATAGCTAGTGAGTGTCTGAGGCCAGATTTGAACTCAGGAAGATGAGTCTTCCAGACCCCAGGCTTGGCGCTCTATCCATTGCACCACCTAGCTCCCCTAAGTTAGTAATGAATGATCTTTCCCCCATCCCCAGACCTCATCAGACACTTTGTTTGCATCCCATTTATTCACTATTTTATATTAATCAATTGATACACACTTAAGTGCCCAGGATTGTGCCAAGCGTAGAGAATTCGAAGACAAAAGTGAAAAAATCCCTGCCCTCATAGAATTTACATTTCACTGGAGATACAACATGTCCATAAGTATATGTGAGATAAATAGAAGGTAATTTCCGAGGGGAAGGCACTAGCAGCTGGGGGAAGGGGGAAGTCTTCTGCAGAAGAAAATGGTCCTTGTGCCATCTTGAAGGAAGCTAGGAATTCTGAGATGCAGAAGTAAGAGGGAGCGTATCCCCGGTATGAAGAAGGGCCATGGATATGGAAGATGACAGTAAGGGGGCCATTTTGGTTGGGCCATAGTGTCCAAGAAGGGGAATCATGTGTACCAAGGTTATTTGGGTATGTAATACCCTCTTGCTAGACTATAAGTCCCTTGAGGCAGAGATCTAACTTTAGCATCTCTTCCAGAATCTAGCACAATGCTCAGCATGCAGTCGGTGCTTCAGAAATATTTGCAGAATGTCCTAAAACTTTGTGAGTCTACAATGCCTTACCTGTGATTGTTGGAGTACATCCTGGCATACTCTTCTTTGACCTCCTCTAAAGTGGATGCATTTCCATCCTCCAGGTTGAAGGATTCTATTGGCAGGAAGAGTGGAAGGAGTTGGAGAGAGATGTCACTGTCCAGACAAGAAGCCTGACACACCACAGTTCAATCCTAAGGAAATTCAGAGGACAGTTTCCTCTTCTAGACATTAGGGGAACCAGGGGAGAGAGAGAGGAAGACTTGCAAAACCAGCAATGAGAATGCAAAGAATTAAAAAAGACAAGAAACATGTAGGATCATAGAGCTGGAAAGGGGCCTTTGGGATCTCCTAACTCATCCCCAGTCTATCTAAAGATCCTCTTCATCCTCCTCTTCCTTCTCCTCCTCCTCCCACTGGTTGACAAGAGACTCCAGAGTGATCATTTGGCCCTTCAGCCATATCCAGCTGTCCTGCCCCAGAGGGCTGCCAAGGACCTCAGATCAGGCTGCTCACCTTTGTCTCTCATTTAATGAAACTCTAACCCATCTCTCCAGACCTAAACCCCAACTGATTGAGAAACACGGCCAGGTTTGACCCCAGAGGGAGAGAAGGGGCACATGGTACCCACTTACCTTTCATCTTCAGCAAATTATCCAATGTTTGCTCCAGTTCCTGAATGTAATTCTTCGCCTTACATAAAACCTGCCACTGAACACAAAGGCAAAGCTGAAGACCCCCTCCCTGACCACTCTGAGCAGGTGTGTGTTGCTAGAGGCAGAGAGGGCCATCTCTGTGGACCCTTATTTCCCACTCCAGCCAGTCAGTCACAATCTTTGGGCCATTTTGGTGCAAGTAATAGGAATGGGTAAGACTACTGAGCCCAAATTCAACTATAAGGATTTAAGACTTTAAAAGAGTTCATGTAAATGGGTTTTATATGAAATACCAAAATACTTGGGTAAGCTGAGATCAGCAAAATGTTACTTGCGTGTTTTTAGTGTTTTGTTAAAATGCCAAGCTGAGATCAGCAACTTAAATGTTGATGCTTACACAGTGGCTATAACTCTGCCCCTATAGATTTTTAACCATTTCAAACCTGTCTGGCAACTATAATGAGATGATAGCTTTAGAGCTGGAAGGTACCTCAGAGTTGAGCTAGTCCAGTAGTTCTTAGCCTGGGGTCCATGATTTTATTTTCTTTAATATTCTGATAACTATTTCAAGTTTTCTTTGTAATCCTTTATTTCATGCATCTTAAAGCATTATTTTAAGAAGGGGGGGGTCCCAAAGGTTTCACTGGACTTCCAAAAGGGTCCACAGCAGAAAAAAGGTTGATAGCCCCTGATATAGTCCAACTGAAGCCCCAAAAAGTGAAGTGAGCCCCAGGGAACACCCGCTAATAAGTGACAGTGCCAGTGCATGGATCTGGGTCCTCTGATTACAATTCCAACTCTTTGTCCTAGCCCATAGTACTTTGTCATAGATGTTACCAGGAAGATGCCTCTTAGCTTGGTAAAGGCAGAGTTATAAAAAGCAAACAAACAAACCATTTGATGGTGTATTCAATGCAGCCAGTGCTAAATCTGTTTGGTTTGAATTATGGTGTAGGTAATTTCTTCAAGAATGGCCTAGAAGCGACCTGTAGGCAGGGTATTATGGCTCATGCTTTTTTTTTTTTATCATGGAATACAGTCATCCCTTCCACATTGAGACTTCCCTCACTGTGGTTTTGATATATCACAGGTCAGTGTAAGAAACTGAATGGGAATGTTTTGGGGAGTTTTGTGGAAGCTGCAGGCAATATGCAGAGGCCAACAGATGACAGAGCCTATGACCAAAGACTTAATCCAAATTTTCAATAAGGTACTGTAAACACCCCAAAAAAGAAAAAGAAAAAATTCAGACTTCTCTGGTACAAAGAGACCACCAAAAATTTTTGCATGGATTTTCCAGATCGCATGTGTACTGCTTCCCTAACCTCCTCCATGTGGAAACATAACTGTACTTAGCACAGTGGTATGGGCATACTCCTTCACTGACTGATTGGTTGCCTGGCTAAGCAATTCTACCCACTACTTTTAGATAGAAGATTTCCCAAAACAGGAGATGACCTAGTTTGAATATCAGTGTTCAGGATGCCTCCAATCAATGTACGTAGGCAAACAAGTAGCAGAACTAGATTTGGCTTACCTGGAACAATGCGCTACCAGCTATCATTACAATCCACCATACAAATAATGGTTAGCTGGAGAGCAGGGACTCTGCTAGGATTCATCTTTGTACCCCTTTCTGCCATGCCCTAAGCTGGCATTTCATAAATGTTTGTTACATTTTATTAGCATTGCAGTTCATCTAATAACTCATTAAAAGAGCCACCACTGCAACAGGCACCATTTCCACTTGCATTGTCACCTTTAACCCTGAATTGGTGAGCCCAGAAATTTTCCTCTTGGCTTTTTTCCCCCCAAAGCGTGAAAAGTTAGAAAAGGGCAGACACAATTTAAACTTCTGAAATTCTTATTCCACCAAGCGAGGCAGCACAGATGGTTTCTTTATCACATTCCACCTCACTTACATATTGCATCTGGTAGGAGTTAAGTTTGCAATTTTAGATGAACTCACACACTAATTGGACACACCATAGGGAGTGCTCAGATCAAAGCAGTAGCCAAGGAGCTCTGATCAACCCAAAAGACAAGGGAGAAGGACCAGAGACAGTACAATAGAAAACGTTTCCCATTTAACACAATCCACCTTAGCACCAACAGTCTACTCAAAACAGAGGCACACTTAATATCGCTCCAAGCAACACTATGTCCCTATAACGCCAGAAATCATGCCGGATTTGTAGTCAGAGGATAGAATTCCTGCATGACCTTGGACCAGCAACATAATCAATTCAGGCCTCAATTTCTTCATCTGCAAAAACTGAGGGGTTTGAATAGATAGTCTCTGAGGTTCCTTTCAGCTCTCAACCTATAATCCTATATGCACTAAAGGAACCCAGTGTCTCAAAACTATAGGGGAAAGTAAGCAGAAAGAATAGGGTTCTTGTCTGTGAATGCCTTCATTGTTTAGAATGATTTATCATCCTTTAAAGATTGTGAAGAAGATCATGTAAAATCCTCTCCTTTCTGTTCTACTTCCATATGAAAGTGTACGTTGTACCTGATGTTTGTTAAAATCAGAATTTTTTTAAAAAATTGCAAAAAAGTTAAGTTCAGAATTTTTTAAAGTTTGCAAATCACTTTACATACATTCCCTTTCTTTTCCTCATAACAACCCTATGAAGTAAGTGTTATTGTTGTCTCCATTTTATAGATGGGAAGATGAGGCTTAGGAAGGTTAAATTAATTGTCCTGGGTCACCCAACTAGTAAATGTCTAAAGCAAGGGGTCTACCTGACTCCAAGTCCAGCACTCCAGCTACTATACCACACTGCCTGTCTCTACTGGTCCTAAATGACAAGTCACCACGCTATTTAGCACCCTCTGCACATTGAAGGAAAAGTCTGAATTATAGCGTCTTTCAACGTAGATAAACATTCTACTTTAGGTCTTTTAGCCCTATAAGTTAATGTAGCAAAATGCTTCCTTGATAGCAGAAAGACACAATTCAGGACTGTTCCTTTCCGGATAACCACAACTTTTGATGCATGGGGAGATAACTTTTAATAAAGTACTGTTCTGATCTATGGGCAGCTAGGTGACACAGAGGATAGAGGGCCTGGAGTCAGGAAGATCTGAGTTGAGATTCAGCCTCAGACACTTACTAGCTGTGTGACTCTGGGCAAGTCACTTAACCCTGTTTGTATCAGTCTCCTCATCTGTAAAATGAGCTGGAGAAGGAAATGGCAAACCATTCCAATATCTTTGCCAAGACCCATGAGTCATGGGCTACAAAGAGTCAGACAGGACTGAAATGACTGAATAACAACAATTCTGTTCTAACTTCCTGCTATGGAAGTGACCCTAAGTTTTCAAAAGTTCTTCTTGAGGAGGGAGGGCCCTCTCTGACAACCCCAACCCAAGTAGAAAGACTTCAAGTGCAGACCCTGCAATGGGTGGGCATACCTTTTGTCTGAAGTCCAGTCTCACTGAGTTAACAGCCACCATCTATTTTAAGATAGCCATCTGTACCCGTGGAACCTTCCATTCAAATCAAGTCGATAGGCATCTAGTAACAGCCCACTTACATGCAAGGCAAAAGGCAGGTGAATGGAGTAGACAGAGGTTTGCCTTTAGAATCAGTAAGACCTGGATTTGAGCTGTATCTGAGACACCAGCTGTGTGACCCTGGACAAGTCACTTAATCTTGGTGCCCGAGGCAACTCTCCAGAAATCCCAGGCAACACTACAGTCCCCAACAGTGATGAAATTCCACATGCGGCCCCAAAAGAAACAAACCAAACCAAAAATCTCGGTGACTCTAAGTCTCTTAAGGTACAGAGGAAAGCAGCCCCTGGCCTCTTGGAGCTTACATTCTACTTGGAGGAAAGAAAGAATCCCAGGGATAACTTGTGCTTTTTGGATTGTTCTGGAAATGTATCGGCCAGACGTTTAGAAGCTTCAGCACCTTCTCCCTAACGAGGTGGTGAACCTCGCCAGGACCAGGATTTCCCATTCTTTTGTATCCTCTGGGCAGCTAAGAGGTGGTTCCAACACCAGAGAGCAATGACTATAGATGATTGACTCTTTGACTGTTCAGGCAGGATTGTGGTGGTTTTGGTTTTTTGTTTGTTTGCTGTTGTTCGGTTTTGGTTTTGCTAAGACCAGTGAGTATGGCGGTCACACAGAGAACCTAAAGACCAAGAGTGGCTTCTCCCAGAGGGAGGCTCCTTTCTCACAACCTAAGATAAATTAATGGTAATAGCTAGCATTTATAGGGGCAGCAAGGTGGCGCCATAGTGCATAGAGTGCCAGGCCTGAAGTCAGGAAGACTCATGTTCCTGAGTTCAAATCTGGCCTCAGACACTTAGTGTGCTGTGTGACCCTGAACAAGTCACTTATCCCTGTCTGCCTCAGTTTTTTATCTGTAAAATAAGCTGGAGAAGGAAATGGCAAACCACTCCAGTATCTTTAACGAGAAAACTCCAAATGGGGTCCTGAAGAGTTGGACACAATTGAAGTGACTGAATAACAACAAAAAGCATTTATAGGGGGCCTTAAGGTTTGCAGAGTACTTTATATGTATTATCTCATTTGATCCTCACACGGAGGTAGGTACCATTATCACCCCCATTTTAAAGATGAAGAAACTGAGGTTGAGAGATAGTAAGTGACTTGCCAAATGCCAAACAGCTAAGTAAGTGTTTACAAAGTCTGTTGAGATCACAATTAACAAAAAATTACCACTGGCAGAGGTATTATTTTACCATCTGCACTACAATACAGCGGTCTTGGGCTCAGAAAGGACCTTTGGGGTCACTGAGTCTAACCTGGACCCAGACAAGAATCCCCTTTACACCATACCTGACGAGGGGCCATCTGGACTTTGGCTGAAGCCCCCTAATGAGGGCAGTGGTGAGAAACACCAAACCCTACCCCTTCCGACCCCTGCCTCCTGGGGGCAGCTCGTGGCACTCCTGGCAGATAGCTCCAATTGATAGAGAACTTTCCCTTATGTGGAGCCTAAATCTACCTCTCTTCTGTGTCATCCCAATACTTCTAGTTCTGTCCTCTGGAGCTAACAAGTCTAATTCCCTTTCCTCCATGTTGCCCTTCAAACACCTGCCAGACAGCTCTGGGCAAAGGTACAGTGAGAAGCGGGTGTCTGGCCTCCAAGATGTTACAGCTGTATTATGAAGTAAAGCAAGTGGGACGGAGTTTCATGATTAATCTATGAGAGTCATAGCTGGTTTGAGGAAGGAAATGGAGTCATCTCCCTGCTCTAGATGTCTGTCAAACCAGAAGACTCAAGTTGAAATGGTCCTATGTCAGAAAGGCTTCCTGCTTCTCCACGTGTGCACACAGACAGGGATGCTTTACACACATGGGCACATAGATCTATGGCAATGTGCCAGCTTGATGATCACGACCAGTCAGTTAATTAGGGGGCTAAAGCCCACTCCACTCTACTTCCCTTACATATTTCTGGCAGGACGGGGATGATGTAGTCAGAAGCAATTGAAACGTGGAAGGCTCCTGTACAACAACCCCGTCCCCCTGCCCCGGCACACTCAGATTCCCTGTTGTCTGATGCATCCCAGCAGGTTCCTCTAGGGTCCCTTTTCCCTACTATGTTTCCTTGCCAACCCCTCTACCTCTATTGCATTTTCAGGTGAGGAAGAGATGAGCTCATCGATTCAACTTTAGATCTGGAAGAGACCTTAGAGGTCACCTAAAGCTTTTTTAAAGATGAGGAAAGGCCAGCTTGATGGTGCCGTAGTGCATAGAGCACCAGGTCTGGAGTTAAGAAGACTCATCTTTGTAAGTTCAAATCTGGCCTCAGACACTAGCTGTGTGACCCTGGGCAAGTCACTTAATCCTACTGGCCCCAGTTTTCTCATCTATAAAATGAACTAGCCAGCAAACCACTCCAGCATCTCTTCGAGAAAACCCCAAATGTGGTCATGGAGAGTTGGATATGACTGAAAAAATGACTGAACAACAATAAAAATGAGGAAACTGAGACCCAGAGCAGTTAGGTGACTTGTCCTACATCATACAGGTAGCAAGCATCAGAGGTATGATTTGAACCTAAGCCCCCGACACAAAATCCATGCTCCTTTTATTGTCCCAGGCTTCCTTCCTCATCCCAAAGAACGTTGGGATCCCTGATCTATATCCACTCAAGGAGATACATATGCCAGCTTGTTATTTCCCCTCCCCCTGGAGCCACTCACCCCTCCCTCCCCATACCTTTGGTGCTGTACTATTAGACTGAGAAAAAACCGTTCTCCTAAGGCTGTTGAAGAGTCCGGCCAGCGTCGCCCGGCGCCGGGCCTGAGACAAGCGTCTGCGCACCACTCGGGGCTCTAACTCCTGCAGCTGGTCTATGAGTCTGGGAGTCACTCTGACATGGCGTGCTGTAGTCTCCAGATGCGTCCATTAAAAGCTGCAATGGAATATTAAGCCTTTTGCCCTAAATAAATAAATGCATGAGAGAGAGAGAGAGAGGCTGGATGGAAGCAAAGTACCCCCACACCCACACTCATTATCCACGTAAGGCCCTGACAGAAATATATATCACACAGCATCCCAAACCAGCAGCTGGGTTGACAGTCAGAGGTTCCCACTGAGTCACAGAACAAGAATGCCAGGGAGCCAGGTGGAGTCTGACTCCTTAAGTTCTTGATGTAGTTGATGTGGTCAACGGAGTGGCCTTGCAGGCCAAGCCCCATCCTTACATCCTAATTTCTAAGACACAATGCAAACTCCTCAGCGCGGCATTTCAAGCCCTCTACAATCTGGCTGGAGCCTCTTCCCAGACCTTTTTCATTCTATCCCCTTTCCTGCAGAGTTATTTTCCATCACACTAACCTACTTCTGCTCTTTCCCAACTCTAACATCAGCCTGGGGTCCATTCCCTCCTGCCACTGCCTTGTAGAATTCAAGCCTCAGTTCAGACACCTTCTACTAGGAGTAGACTTTTCTAATGCCTCCCTCGGTGGCCCCCTCCCAAGCTGATGCCAGCTTAAAGACACAGACTGCTTTTGTCTCATATGTCCTGCCTTGTGCTTTGCACATAGTAGGTGCTTAAGAAATGTTGAATTCAACAAAGTTGATCTCTACCAATTTTCAAACAGCTGGGACTCCTAAAAGATGGGATCATAGATTTAGAGCTGGAAAGGAATCATAGAGCGTATCAAGAAACCTCCCCCCCTCCTTATTTTACAGATAAGGATGAAAGAGATGAAGTGCCTTGCCCAGAATCACACAACCCACAGTGTATTCAAGTGTCTAAGTGTCTAAGAGAGGAGTTGAACTAAGTCTTCCCGCAAATCCAGCGCTCTATCCATCACACCACACTGCCTTGACATCTCTAGCTACAAAATGGGAAAGTCCCACAACAGCCACAGCAATAGTATTGGCTTCCCTTAGCTAGTGCTTTAAGTCGACTTTTATGGCCTTGTCTTACTAGCAGCGATTACTGAGGATAATCCTTTCTTCTTTTTGAAATATCTCTGCCACAGCTAGCCATTTCTGGGCTTACGGGGAGGGAGTCCCTGCCCTATAGCAAGCAATGTTAGTAATTTCACTATCCCTCCTGCAGAAAATGGGGTGTTTCCCCACGGCAGCCATAGCAGACCTGTGCAGACTACTCACTTATTTGTACAAGTTCCTGACAATCTACTCCTTAGAGGGATTCAGGCTGCGCTAAGGTCAGGAAGGGCTGTCCAGTGTTCCTTTTTTTTGAGGGGAGAATCACTGTCTCTCAGAAGCAATGTGTTCATCATTCGTTTCCACATAATTATCTAAGCCCAATGTCATTGTTTGCCAGGGGAATTGTGGCACAGCAGCTGTCAGCAGCTGGGAGAAGAAGGAAGCCTTGAAGAGAGAATCAATTCAAATGCATACTAAATCACAGATTTTTAAATGCTTTTTTTGTAGTAATGGAAAGAATACTAGATTTGGAGTCAGAGGACTCTGCCTGCCACTTACTACTCATATGGCCCTGAGCAGATCAGTTCACTTCTCTGGAACTCAGTTTCCTTATCTGTAAAATGGGTCCAATAATACTCGTCTACAGAGTTGCAAGGTTCTTGAGGTGGTGGATTATTTTCATTTTTGTCTTTGCATCCTCAGTGCCTCGCACAGTCCCTGATGAGTAGCAGATGCCGGACAAATAAATGCTTTTTGAATTGACTTTTTGTTACTATTGTTATAAAAAATGACCTTCGTGAGCCCTAGAGGAAGCATTCTTTCTTCTAACACACCTGTAGCAAAATGAGCAGTATGTCTATTTCTCCACATTTTACTTCGAGGGAGCTTGGAAAGAAGCACTTGACAACCTTTTCATCTACTTCTTCTGTTCCCTACAAAGGACCTGTCATGTGGCCGAAGAAGAGTGGAGCAGGCACCGCGGCTGAGATACTGCCAGCCAGCCAGCCTGTCCTATGCCCATGAAAATTTGAAATCGAAATAAGCGCTCTCTTTTTCTGCAGTTTCCTGAGACAGCAACTCATCTGTAAAACAGAGAGCCAGCCCAAATAATGACTTCTGTTTCTGTGGTTCTTCACATGTCCTTGGAGCCTCACAGCAAACCCTGTGAGGTAGGTGAAGCAAGAATGATCACCGCCAATTTACATGGAGGGAAACTGAGGTTCAGAAAGTCACTTGCCCCAAGCCCAACTAGACGATAGAAAAGCCACAACTCCATTGTGGTGTTCTCACTGCCTTCCATGACCTCACGCTGCCTTCCAATATAGTGGGTTTTTAAAAAATTCTCTATCTCTTCCTCCCTCTCCCTCCCAAAAAAATCAAACTTGAAGGCAGTATGATAAACTCTCTGGGACCCTGAATAGTGACATCTAATGCCAGTAAAGCATAAAAACATATGGACAGGAGAGAACTTACCTCAATTTTTTCTTCACATTTTCTGGCTCAGAAATTCTGAACAATATCCTAAGAGGATTGCTGTGGAAGTGTACAAAATCAAAGGCAAGCATTTGGGGGCTCCTTACTTAGCCACATTGGTGTGTGACACCCAAATGAGACAGCAGATGGGCTTGTATCCACCTTTCCACACTTCCCCTACTTCTCACAGGCCTGAGCACATGGAGAGCCAGGAGACCAAGGTACCATTACTCAGCATTACCAAAACTCCTCCCAAATATACCCTTTGCCTGAATTACTGGATTGGCTGTATAGAGGGAGGTCTCAAAGTCACTGGGTAATCCTGCACTCATTTGCTTGATTTTATAGAACATAAGTCTGACCACGTAATTTCCCTGTTCAAAAATCTTTTGCCTCCAAGATAAAATACAAACTTTCCTCCTTGGCATTTTAAATGCCTGCAACCCAGCTCCAACCTAGCTTTCCAGGCAGATTTCACATTACTCTTCCTCATGTACTCTACACTCCAATCAATCTGCCCTATTTACTATATTTTAGACAGAACTTTCCATTTCCCACCTCTGTGACTTTGCATGGGCTGTTCCCCCTACCTGGAATGCCTTTCCTCCTCATCTCTGCCTCTTGGAATCCTTAGGGCCTTTCATGACTTACAAGTGCCACCTCTTACGTAAGGCTTTTTCTGATCTTCTCTTCCCCTAGATTATTAGTGAACTCCTCACCTTGAAATTACTTTGTATTTAGTTATCGGTGTAAAAATTGTTTCTCTTACCCTTACCCCAGTAAAATGTAAACACTGTTTTCAGTTCAAGAATCATTTCATTTTTGTCTTTGTATCTCACTTTGTAACCCCTCAACATTTATTAGAAACTTAATAAAAGCTTGTTGAATTAGAAGGGATCAGCTAATCACTTTCTATACCAGGGGGTTAGTAGCCCTTCTGAGGTGGTCAGTCCAAAGTTCGCATTCATTCACTTCTTGAGATGAATAGAGGGACAGCCTTTCCTCATGAATAGAGAGGATGATGGCCCTGTGCCTTCCACTGGGCCAGGCAGGCAGACTGTCCAAAGGGAAAGGAAGACACGGGCCAAGGGCTGAACGGGAGGGATGCCAGTGGATGTCCCATGAAAAATCAATTCTTAGGCTCGCTTTGACATATATGCTACCTATGGCTGACTCCTAATCAGGGTTGTCCCCGAGTCTTCTGTCTTCCTATCACTACCTCTATCATAGCAAAAGCTTACACTAAGAGAAAACTCGCTCACAAAGTTCTTGTAGTACAAGTATGATTAATTCAGGGGTATGCTAGAGTTAGCTCATACCCAGATGATTGTTAAATTTACAGTGTGAGCATCTACACCTCGGGAATTGGCAAAAAGCTACAAACCAGAGCTTGATTTATTGTTTTAGTGACTGTCTAGACTTCAAAAAGTGATGAAATGTTAACAATTCAGATTCAACAAATGTGTGTAGTGAGCACATCCTGTCAGAGATCCAGGTGTGAATCATTTACCAGCCCACCTCTAATTATCATACTTATTTTACAGAAAGGAAGTAGAAGCTTAAAGAGGCTGGGACTTACCCATACTTAAGAAATGCTAGAGTTGGGACTAAAATCCAGGGCTTCTAATTCCCAATCTGATTGCCTTTCCATCTGTTGGCACACAGGTCAAATGCTTTTACAACGAATTAACTACAAGGGGATTGTGTCAATTATTTTGTTGGATTAAAATTTTGTCATATTGAATTTTGCCTAAAGTGAGTAAGTAGTCTGCTGACCAGTGCCTGGGAAATAGGAAGGGCAAATAATGCTATGCCTGTTTGGCAGATGAGGAAACTGAGTGTCAGAGAAGTTACCAAACTTGTCTAGGTCATACACATGGTAAAGATCACAGCTGAGACTCAAACCCTGGGAGGCTGACTCCAAGTCCACTAGACCACAGCTTGTCTCCATGCTAGACAGAGTGGTTGTTGTAATGGTATTTGATCTGCATGGCCAGATTCAGTCTAGACAGCAACTGTAATAACCAATGTACTAGCCAAGAGAGAGACAATTAAGGGACAAATGAACCTGAAAGAATGAACTCTCTTTAGAGAGCTCCCATAACCACATAGAATTGAGACAAGGGTCTTCTCTGCCCCAGGCTAATAGTATATCCCCCTTTTGCTTGGGCATAAAGATGGACTTATGAAGAAATTAAGAATATAGGTTAAACTGGTTTTATTTTTTTTAAAATGAAAGTACTGTATAGACAAGGTATTATTATTTCTTCTGTAAGAAGCAGTTTCTAGCTGCATGTTAGGGAGCCCTGCACCTGTCTTTCATGATCCTCCATGATCTGTGTTCCCCCTGTCTGCCCACCCCATGCAACTTTATCTCCCAAAAGAAAAGCTCTATCCTAGTCTGGCCTGTTCATTCTTCTGCCTCTAAAATTTGCTTACAGATCCTTCCCCTATAAGGACTTTCCCATCCCTGGGCCACTACACTTGCCTTTGTTAGACAACAGACTCTTTTTATTATAGCATTTCATCTATGATGAT